TTTTCTGTTTTTGAAAGAAGTAGTTGTATGTGTGATGGGTGGGGGAGGGAGGGGTATTTATTTAACAATAGCTCATGCTATTTCTTTTGCGGAAGGAGGCAGCGGGTTAGTTAGTGCACTGTGAGCCTGGAAAGGGCAGATTATTTACCTTAGAAGGCCTCCTTAATTTGAGAAACGGAATGCCCAAATGTGCTGCAGAATGTTAATATGTCAATTGTGGTGCAGTCTCCTTGGAGAATATGTCTGGGTAGGTTTAATGGTCACCCATATTGTCACAACAACTGGGCTTCATCCCCGGTGCTGTCTACCCTGTCTCTTACTACTGTTAGGCTGTGGCCTCTGGGATGGCTGCAGGCAGCCAGTCCAGGGTGAGAATGTAAGCATTTATTATGAAAACCGTGCTTGTTTTTAAAAGAAGGCAAAGAAAAAAATCTGTTTTTTTATTTGTAACTGGCTTTACAAAATGCTTTAATAAATTATTGGATTACATCTTTTGTGTTTTATTTTGTTGTTAATTGATTTGTTGTTCCTTTTGGTTTTGTGATTTTCACTTCCAACACTTTAACACTTCACATTTGTTTGAACACATCTGAAGTCTAGAGTGCTTAAAATCAGCTAAAGGCATCCCCTTCAAGTTCTAAAACCTTAGATAACAGTTTTTTTTTCATAGTTTATTTAAATGATTATACTTTTAGTTTTTTATCCATCAAATCAGTGCTTTAACGCAGCTGATATTCTTTTTTTGTTAAAAAGCCTAAACTCATTAGGGTAAAATGATAGATCCTTTTACACTGTTGAGTTATATTACTGACAATCAAAATATGATGTTATGATATAACAGTTTTATTCAAATATATTGTTTTTAACCTATCAATAGAAGCTGTTCAGGTTTCCACCTTGTGGAATGCACTAACACCTCACAAGCAGACCCCCTGGTTTTTCAGAAGAAACAAAATCTCAGACTATAAGGAAGGTAATCTTCCAGACATTTCAGTTAAGTCACAAATAAGACCTTGGAAGTATACAACCTGTGAAATAGACTATTTTTCAGTAATTTGCTGGTTTTTACAGTAGTATTCTTTCTCACACTAGAGGTACCACTTCTTAGTTACTGGGTCACTTTTGACAGCATTTTACATTATGGGAAACAGATACTTTAAAAACATTATACCAAATGTGTGCATCTATGTCATGCTACAAGTTCTTGTGGTATTATCCTATATTTAAAAATCTAAATATAAGACTCCATATATACTATATACTGTATATGTGACTCCTATGTAAAATATAGACATACAATGTGTTGAATATGTAAGTGTGCCTTAAGCAGTGCACAGGAACTTAAGGAGGTCCCAGTTGATTAGTGGAGTTTGTATGTCCTTCTTGTGGCCATGTGCGTTTCCTCCATGTACTCTGGTTTCCTCCTATAGTCGTAAGAGGTGCTGGTAGGTACTGTAATTGGTTTCTGTAAAAAGGCTCTGGTGTGTGTCCTGCAAGGCACTGGCATCCTATCCAGGGTGTTTCTTGCCTTGTGCCCAGTGCTTCCCATGATATTCTACAGTCCACCATGACCCTGATTTGGATAAGTTGTTACTAAAAGTGATAGGATAGATTATTGCCAAAGACACTGGAGCCACTATGTCAATAGTTTCAGAGAAACGTTACAACAGCAAGTTCAAAAGGAAGTCTATCAAAATCTAACAAAAAAAAGAAAGAAAAGAAATAAACTATTTTGCAAACAAATATTGGGAAATGTTAAATGAAAGTGTTGATTCTAGCTTGTTTGGTAGTTACAGTAGTAGTCAATTGATCAGAGGATCTCAACTAGCCACTTCTTGAAAATCAAAACCCCAAATTTTTATTTCTAAAGAGCAAAATCAAAATTACACTGAATTGTTGGCTACAATAACTGTTATTGTACCTGATAATGTAGCAGGTAGTCAAGGGTAAATGGTGCTCCTTGTTTGGGCAAAGCTGGACTGTGCATTTGCAGTTACTTTGATTAGAGGTACACAATGTTACAGACCCTGCAGAGCATTTATGCCACATATACTGATGAAAAAAAGAAACACAACATTTTCTGGTATGAGAATACTTTAGTTATAGCTTATGTACTTTCACAAAAAGTTGATAATTTGTTTTAAGCCTTCTAACCAGCAATACAGCTTGTGCAGTGGGGCATTGTAACTTGCCAATCACACGAAAGCTTGTTAGGTTCACTTTTACCCAACGAGGTCCAGCTGGAACAATGCCTGATCAGGTTACCTTTAAAAAGGCCTTTATTCAAAGCTTAGGTCAATGCAAGAAAAAGGCCACACTTTTTCTTTTTTCACCTTTTCTGTTTTCTGTCCATTCCAAAATGCCTTGAATGACACCAGAAGCAAGGGAGAGAGCCATTTGCATGCTGCAGGTAGGCATGTCATGTGTCAGCATGCCAAACACTGTGGAGTAAGCTGCTCCACTGTGTCCCTACTGCAAAGAAGGTTTCAGCAGACCGGCAGGACAGATGACAAGAGCAGGACCGACAGATCAGACTGGTCCATCTGAGAGATCATTTCAGATTTGCCACCCATACTGTTGCTGAAACTGCCGGCAGACACAATGCCCACTTGAGTGACAGGACAGTGAGGCTCCATGCTGCTGACCTTAGAGCAAAGAGACCTGTCAGAGGCCCTCTTCTCACACCTCACAGACATCACACCTGACTGGCTTGGGCCAGGCAGAGGCTGCGATGGACTCGTCAGCAGTAGCATCAGGTCCTCTTCACGGATGAGTCATTCTTTAGCCTGTTCCACGCAGATGGGAGGGCCAGAGTGTGGAGGAGGTGGTGTTTCGTTTCTTTTTTCATCAATATACATGTGTTTTTGATTGTGAAATAGGTCTGTGTTTAGGAAATTAAAGTTGAATAGCTTTGACTTATTATAACACTCAGGCAGATCTGAGCTCCCAGTCTTCGGTTCACACAGGGACTCACCGCATTCACACAAGGAGCTCGACTCCGCCCGGCAACACTTGGACCTTGTATGGCAGGCTCTTTCAGCTGCCTGCCACTAACTGGTCAGTAATCAGCCGGGTATTTAACCTCTGCTCACCACTGTCCCGGTGCTCTGATATTTGAGCTACTAGGTTGCAGTAGTTCTCTCGCACCAAGAATTCTGGTTGTTTACGAAACCAGCTTTCCGTGGCCTGAAATAACCACTGCCTGTTTGCGTCCATGAATATTTCCTCATTTGCCAAACGTGCCAGCCTTGTTTTCTGATTCCACACCTGAACAGGGGCAGTCATGTGTCTCCGGTCAGCCCTCGGCTTTCTCCAATATTTTCGACCTTGGCTACCTTTGTCACCCCTCGCCTGCCCTTCATGTGTCTCCATGACCATTTGCCATTTTCATCTCTCCATTGTGTATTGCAGCTGGATCTCTATTTCCATCAGCCAGCCATGGGCTCTTCAACACTAAGACACGGCATAACATTTATAGTACAGTTTATTGCTGCTGAATACAGTCTAGTTTCCTATGCAGTGCGATAAGCAGTAGATTTGTACCTGGAGGGAATTGGTACACCGGTGTATCTTTCCATTAGCTTATTCAGAGTGGGCAGCATCTGTTCATTATTTGTGTGCCAAAGAATGATGGGAATATACATACAGTATATGGTGAGAGACAGATGTTTATCCCATTGCAAGAGCTCATGACTTATTTGCAAAATTGTCAAATAGAATAGTTTGGAAACATCTGGCTCAGTCTTATCAATTTGTCAGGGATCCAAGCAAACCGTACTTGCAAAACTCACAGTCAGTTTCCTTGTAGGATTTCTAAGTTCTCAATGAATAATGGGTTTTGTAGTGCAAGGATTGGAAGATGATATCCTACTATCTGACATTCTATTGATTTGCAGAAATAAGGCAGACCGTTTAAATTCAATTGCCTTCTTGGGATGAATAAAGCATTTTGAATTGAATTTGAGATGAGGCTACAGCTGCATGGGTTTAATAAGAAATGTACAGAACAGTGTAGAATATTTGAGTCACATTGTTGATTGAGTGGAAATCACATCTTTAAAGGAAAAATCTTCCTGAATCGATTGAAAAGGCTGTGCTGTCCAGAAACACAGCAGACCTGAGGTATTTCCTTACTTTGCTAAATTACTATGGGAAATTCATACACAATCTGTACACTACGATCAAACCTTTGACAAGTTCGTTAGAAAATAATGGGATCATTGGAAT